ATTCACACTGATAGGAATCCCTCTGATGTGGGAACAAAAATTCTACCTGCAAGTAAATTTAAATTGTACTTATCTTTATTACATATTGACACTGGTTAATTTTTCTTGCAAGTAGTGGGCGATGATCATGAATAGTTTTTCCATGTGCAAATTCGCAACCTAGAGAGAGTGTTATGAGAACCAAGGTGAAGAATGTGAGAATGTGGTTCTCTTAACTCCATTAGATTTAAGTGCTATTTGTGTCATTCATATGGATTGTGCTTTTCTAATTTTATTGTGGACCATTGGATGAGATCGACAACTGGGATTTATTCTATGTGAGATATTTTTTGTTGCTTTAGCTTGTGTGAGAAGCTTTGACTATTTTCCATCAAATAAGGCTTTCTCACATTTTTGGAAAAACAAGTCTTTCTCTCTAAAAATTCGGCACTCTCTCTTCTCCTCAAGACTTCTCTCTCCATTTGCACCTTACTGTGAGTGTTCTTGAGAGTGCCTTCTTGTGAACTTCTTCTTGAGTGTCCCTTGTGATAACTTAGGCCTGAAATAGTGGCTAAGTATATGTGATGTTTCTCAAAGTTTGGTAGAAGAGAGGGGTGCGGTGGTGGCGATTTCAAAGGAGGTTCTTTGCCAGTTTTCTAGCTCTCTTTTTAGAAGGTGATTTGCATGACATGGGAGCTGTTCCTAAGCCTGAAAATCAGCCATAAACAAGAGAAGTTGCTGTCCAGATTTTCGGCCATTAATGGGTTGTATTTTCGGTTTATGTTTCTTGCATTTTTGCCTTGGAATCTTTGATTGAATGATGTTTATTGTTGATTGAACTCCGAGATCCCAACAATTTCTTTATCGATGACACCAAACTATGGCCAATCACATAAACTTCTTTGTTGATCACGCAGTACAGTTGGTCACCAAACATTCTTGCCTTTTATACACGATCACAATTCTCAAATCGGATCTAGTATCCTACTCGAATCGCACAACAAATGTCACATTTAATGTCTCTCGTGAAATATTTCCTGTAAACGTTAAGTGGTCCCATCAAATCACAAAATACTGTTCTCATGAAATTCCCACATATATCATTCTACTTATGTATACAGTCACAATTGGTCCCACTAAAGTCATTTAATCTATCGATTAGGAATTTATGTGGCCACAACGATGTTTATCACAAAATCACAGTACAATTATCTATACAATCGCAACATGAATATTATACAATCAATTATGAATTTATGAGGTCATGTTGGCGTTATACGTCGGTTATGAATTTTTGCAGTCACAACAATGTTTCACTCGAAATCAATAAATAAAGACATTAACTTGTAACATGCAAAACAATCTTTCTACAATTTCACGATCATATTTGGAACAAAATCAAGCTATACATTGATTTTTTTCGATCACACTCCATTATGTTTTGCTTCTCATATTGGTAGTTACCATTTGTTCCAAATAAACAACGAGGAAACTGCACTCATTCCTGATTTCTTATTTTCCATTTCAAAGATTAGAATTTAAGCCCCCTGTTTGAGCCACATTATTGTAAAAATGAGAATGAAAAATATAGTCGTTGTGAGCCCCACATAAGAGATAAAAAGTCAAATATAGCGGCTCGATGTGATGGATCCCAGTTATATTTTTCATTTTGATGAGAAAATAATGGGGCTCAAACGGGGCCTAAGTTTATTCTTTTAAAATTCTGACTTCATGTTTTTGTGTTCCAGCCTTCTTTTTCTTCATTTAAGATCGAGCTAATTAAATAATTACTCACCAAATTTTACACTGGGTTACTCATTGCTCATTGATACATCCCAACATTTACCCATCCATCACTCCTTTTAAATTTGTTGCCTATAATTGTCGGAAAATGCTACATGTATGACAAAAAGCTGAAGTGCCAACTTCACACTGTTAATATCTATAGCATGAATAAGAGCAAATCATAGGTAAATCATTCCATATTATCATTTTGAAGTTGGCACATCAGATTTGAACATATTTTGTTGTTCCGTTATTATCTATAGCATGAACAAGAGCAAATCAGTAGAATATTGCTATTATTGTTTTCATTCCATATTTAAGAAAACATTTCCATGGTAACCATAAGCACAAAAACACAGAATAAGAAATCATTTTCGACTCCTCCTTCAAACAAGAACAGCAAGCACAGTACGAGAAATCATCTTTTTGTTTTTTGTTTTTGTTTTTGTTTTTTTTTTTTTTTTTTTTTTTTTTTTTTTTTTTTTGTCTTTTGAAGACTCGCAAGAAATCAAGAACAAAAGTGAACTCCAGAGCAAATCAAAACAAAGTCCATAGAAAATTCACCTTAAACCACCATAAATTAGGGCCTACTGCAAGTCACTAGATATTTTAGAGTTGAAATCAAAATTCGTTGTTTCAATCAACACAGTCAATTATTGAATTTGGTTTGGGTAAATTTTAGGGTTTATCGGATAATCTTGAGTTTTCATTTGGAATTTTTGATTTAAAGGTCTAGAAGAAGTGTGTTTCACAAATTAAACAAAAGTTGTCCTTTTGATTTAGTGCCTTTTTTCTTTTGTTTTTTTAATATCTATGTGGACAATTAACGGTGTTAAATTGTCACATCAACTTTTCTTCATTAATTATAGATTTAGAGAGCATTTTTTCCCTTTTTGTAAAAATGAGAATGAAAAATATAATCGTTATGAATCCCACAAAAGAGATAGAAATTCAAATTTGGAGATTTGATGTGATGGATAACAATCATATTTTTCATTTTAATAAAGAAAGAATAAAAAACAAATAGAGGCTTAAAATGAGTGATGGATGGATAAATGTTTAAATATGAGCCTGTCTGAGAGTGATTTTGAGAATTGATTTTTTGATCGTTAGGAGAAAAGTGAGGTCCACCTGTGAGAGAATAAATCAAATATGACGACTGAAATAGTAAAATAATGATCAAAAAATCAATTTTTTGGATGAAAAAATCGCTCCCAAAGAGGCCCTAGAAAAGTGAGCAATAACATTTTTTTATTCATTGAGCAAGTAGTAACCTGGTGGAAAATTCGGTTAGCAATGATTTAATTAACTCTTTAAAATTCTAATTTTTGGTCGACTTCTAGACAAATAGTACGCATCCATTTTTCTGATTTGTACACGATGAGTAATATTTTCAATTGAATTTGGTAGTCTTGGAACACTATTATTTCCTATTTTTTAAACTCATTTCCCTCATTCAGGAATAAATTTCAATTTGACTCGTTAAATTTTCGAAGAATGTTAATCTTTTAATTTTGCAATTCAGAGATTTCAATTTGTGGCAAATGAATTAACCCTTTTCCCGTTATCTTTTTGAATGGATAGCATCTGATGAGCATGACCAGCATGAAAAAGCAATAATAAGGCTGGGCATATTGGGGAAGTGGAGAGGAAAATTAGGGAAGAACACTAATTGGGGTAAGGGGAAATTGGGAAAGAGGATGAAGAGCCCATTTGACAAATAGTAGAAAAAAGAGTTTTGAATAGTGATTTTTAGGAGATTATATGATGAAAAAAGTAGGGAAAAAGTTTTTGATATCGGGGTTGGTGTGGGGTGGGGATTTTTCTCATTTTGGTTTTTTAGTTTTTTAGTTTAATTATTTTATATGAAATAATATAAAATAACTATTTTACCCTTTAAATTGAAAAATAAGATATAAAGTTTAAAAGCTTAGGAATGCGGGTGGCACAAATAAAAAAGTTTTGATATAAATTATAAAAAATAAAAAGTTTGAGATTGCAACTACGATTTTTTTTGGGCGGGTTGGGGGGGGGTCATTTTTGCTATTTTTAATGTTTAAACAAACTAAATTGGACGATAGAATGTTTACATCACCTCAAAGGTCATTTCGGAAGGGGATGGGAGAGGGCTATTTCCTCCAATTTGGAAGGATATGGGATATTGAGCAATAGGGTGAAAATTTTGGGGTGGGTGGTGAGGGGGGGGGGGGGGGGGGGTTG